AAGAAACGTGGCCGAAGCATCTCTAGTGTTTGGGGACGAGGTGGGGCCGACCAGAGTGTCGATTAAAACCTGTCCTTGATGCCGGTGCTCTTACCGACTGAGCTACCACGTTTCGACGTTTCAGTTTTGGCTGGAGCAGTCGGCCATATGCCTGAAGGTAATGCCCTGAAACCCAAGTCGTTGCACCTGCACGGGCCCTTCTGAGAAAACTGGCTGGCAAACGTACTGAGAAAACTGGTCGGCAAACGCACTGGTGGTGCGCCGTACTTTCTTCGGTGCAGGTCTGGCGGGCCGTCAGCCCGCGGTCCTTGTGTTTCTTTCGTTTTTTTCCTTGAAGTTCTCTTTTTCCCTCAATAGTTGACCTCCGCCTCTGATGGCTCCGCTTCTTACTGGTGACTCAGAGGAGCTTCACCTGCTGGGAACCGGGTCCAGCGTCCCTTATTCAGACACACTGATGAGATTGATGTGCACTTGATTACAGCAATGTAAAGAAACCTCTGCGTACCGTATCCACCTTTTGCGAGGAAGCCTGAGGGGTGTGCGGAGACGATGGTGGGAATGATCGATCATTTACCGTCCAGGACTCTCCCGCATGCAGGGTCCACGAAGCTCCGTCTTCATCACCGCTCGAGTGATTCGAGTTCGAGTCGGCGGAGTCTTCATCTTCATCGTCATCGCCACCGCTTTGCTCTTCCACATACGGCAGTCGTGGATCGACCTCCCATGAAGTCACAGAACACGTTCGCTTGCCATGGGCCGCATCCACGAGACAAAACACGTCTGAATCTTGACCGTTGCCACCTCGAAGATCGTGACGATCAGGATGGCGATCACGGCAACGAAGATGATGTGTGGTCAGAAGACCTTTCCGCACGTCACAGTTCATTTTACCAAGGTCACTCTGCTCCGCCTCTTCCAGATACGACAGCCAGCCGACCTCTTCCATCCAGTGGCGATATCCGCTTCCACCATCGCCCTTGAGGACCATGGTGGGCTCTCGTGTAAGTAGAGGCCCTTCTTGTCGCGACGCTTTGCTGCCACTAGATCCGTCGTTGTCCACATCAATCTCAACGTCGAACTGCTCCACGTAAGATCTCTTGCCCTCATCACCGTCAGGAGCGGATGAGACTTTGTCTTGCTCCTCCTCCTCCTCCTCCTCCTCCTCCTCCTCCTCGTGTTGCTCATGCCCACTATCTTCTTGGCTGGCGGCAGTGCCTCTTACTCTCCCCGATAGTTGCAGTTGGACTCGATGGTCGGAGGGTCCCGTGCTTGTCGTTTTCTCCCCCCCCCCCACCATATCCGTCCCTTCGGTGAATGCGTAGCTTTGATCATAGGCATTAGGTGGTGACTGTGCGAAAGAGGAGGCTCTGCGTCCTCCTGATTGCTGGGTGACCATGCTTTCCAGTCTCTCTGCGTGCAACTGCAACGTCTGTATTCTTCCGTTTCTTCTGTGCAGTTTCTGCGACATCTTCACCATCTCCTTACCCATTTCCTCGATGTCTCTGTTCCTCTCCACCACCACTCTTTCTGCCAGGAGCAACGTCTTCCTTTGCCGTTCAATCTCGTCTTCCATCCTGCGGCGACAGCTCTCCCCCACTCTCTTCTCCCGCCTCAGAGTCTCGTTGGCATCCCTCTCCCTCCTCAGTTGCTCTTCTAGCTGGACTGACCGTCTGTTACATCTTTGCAGCATATCCTGCAGCCCGCGTTCCGACTGCGTGCGCATGGTCGCTTCTCCCTGCATCTTCGCCAGCAAGCTCTCCTTCTCGTCGACTCGCGCCTGCAGCACTTGTCTCTCCTTCTCCATGTTCCTTACCAAGTTCCTCAGTCGGCTTGTCTCCTCCTCCGCAGCCGCCAGCTGGGAGAGTGCGGCGGTCAGCTTCGCCATAGCCTCTTCGTGCTTCGAAGCCTCGGCTCGTAAGGCCAGACTGAGTCTCGTCCTCTGCATCGCGTCCTTGGTACTCTCCCTCTTCTCCTCTCGCTGCTCCTCTTCTCTCTCGGAGTCCTCCTTTTGCCGACTTTCTGCCTGCATTCTCGACAGCCTCTGCTCCAGCTCCCTCACCTCGAACCTGGAGTTGTCGATCTCTTCCGCCATTCTCCCCATGTCCTTCTTCATCTCCACGTTTTCCGCCAGCAACTCCTCCGCGTCCTTTTCTCGGGCCTCCATCGCCCACTCTATTGCCTCTAGCTGAAGGCGCAGGTTCTTCTCGCTCTCCCTTACCTCCCTCAAAATCTTCGTTGTCGACTCTACCTCTTCTCGCATTTCCTGCACCACACTCTGCCGCTCTGCCTTCTCCGCCTCTGACTGTCTTAGCCGCCGCGATACAGAGCCTAGTTGCTGCAGTTTGCTCGTCAGCCTCTGTACCTCTGTCTCCCTCGAAGCCAGTTCGACCCTGAGCTGGTCGCACTCCGTGCATTCGGTCTTCATCAACCACCCACGACTCGGAGGATGACGATGGCGGCAGAAGTGCGAATCTGCGGAGTCTGACGTCGACTCCAAATCCGCAGCCAAGTTCGCATGGCATTGCCTCCGTAAGGTGTCTATTTCCCTATCTTTGCGCTCCGCATCTTTCACAAGCCTTGCCATGTCCTTGCGATATCGTTTCTCAATCTCCTTCGCTTCTTGCAGCTGCCGCTCCTTCGTACGAAGCTCCCCCTCCAGTCTAGATATGGCGACCCTTTCGATCTGCGCTACCTCCTCCGTCACCGCCTGCATCGTCCGCTCGGCTGCTTGCTGCTGCTTTGTCAGGTCCTGCACACAATTCTCCATGTCTACTAGTGCTCCAAGAACCCCTTGGTGTTTCTCCTCCGCCGTAGTCAGTGCTGTGAAAGTTCGTTCGAGGTCCTCCTCTAGTTCCTCCACCGTCTTTCTCATTTCTCTCGCTTCCTCCTGCGCTACCTTCGCTTCGCTCCTCAGCTCCGCTTCCGATAACACTTTCGACTTGAGCTGCTGCTCGTACCACTTTATCATTTCCTCCTTCTCCACGAGATTCGCCCTCAGCAGATCCACGTCATCCCAAACAACTGGTGCCAAAGATGTCGGCGGCGTCTTTTGCTTCCCCGGAATCTGATCGCCGAGTGGACCATGCCCGACTCTGTGGTCGTTCGCCGCTTGAACTCGGTTCAGCCGAAGGAGGTGTTTCTCAAGTTCTCTCTTCATGATCCTCACCTGCTCCCTTTTTCCTCCCCTCCTCCTCAACAACTAACTCAATCCTGATTGAAACTGCAACCTGACGAGAACCTCAAGCGCTTCTCGCCGCTGCACTTGAAGTATCTCCGCGGAGTCCCGGGGAAGGCCCCAACTATCGTCTCCCTGCATGCAGACAGCCACACACGACCACCAGATCGAATGTCTTAGGAGCTGGCCCGCTGAGTTATGTATATCCCGAGCTATTTGAATCCGACATATGGGCAACACGAGGTTGCTTCTTACCTTCACCTCATGGTCACACTCAAGCTTATGGCATGACGGCACCATAAATCCAAAAAGTATGGGATGGTGACCCTGATTGTGAACTGCAGTGGGTGAGTGATCGAAAAAAAAAAAGGGAAAAAAACTGTTGACGGAAGTCTTGTATGAGCGAACGAAGTCATGAATGAGCGACCGAAGTCGTGAATGAGCGACCGGAGTCGAGAGTGTACGGTGGAGGGGTGTGCAACACTGCAAAGTGAGAGAGCAGACATGTAACTTTGACGGACTAGGCTTGACCAGCTCAACGAACCTATGATCTAATCGAACTGCTATATCCGTGTTGTCGCTGCGTGATACTACCGACACAAGATGAAGTGCTGAGGCCAAGGCCAAGTCCAAGCAGCAAGCTATGATTGGTCTCCCCTGTGGCTATGCAGAACCATCACCCATTCCTTACGAAAGCCTCGTTGTGCTCAATCACATAACATGGCATTCTCTGCACTCCAAAGCAGACCAACTGACCGCGGGGTTCCGCAAGTCCACCCTGCTATATGTGACACCCGCGGGCAATTCGGCCGCCGCATCCGAAAAAGTGGCCGCAGCCACGGCCGCCAGGCCTAGTTTGCAGCCGATATTTCGGATTTTTTTTTGGTGGTCGAAAAATAAGTGGAAAAAAAAAATATATATATATATATGGGTTGTATTTGAAAACCCTACAACCCCTTTTTATTTTTTTTGAATTTGACTTCATTTAGGATTTATAAAAAATGAAAAACGAAAATTGATTAAAAAGAAAAATATAAAAATAAATAAAAGAAAAGCAGGATTTTTTTTTTTTCATTTGTTTCGTGACTGAGATGGAGTCAGAGTCCTCCTAAAATATTTTCCAAGGTAGTTCCTTTTTTTTCATCTTCTTCTTCTTCTCCTTCTCCTCTGCTTGATTGTTTGATTGTTTGATTGTTTGATTGATTGATTACAACAAAAAAAAAATGAAGTGTGTGTGTGTGTGTGTGTGTGTGTGTGTGTGGGTGTAGTGGGTGTGTGTAAACACGGCCACCCCGTATATACGGGAAACAATAACATCACATCTGTCATATCACGACAGGTTAGCAGCTGTTTAAACATAGTGGGTATTTTAGCCATCAACTCATCTGTGAGGATGCAAGAGGGGTCTGTGATTTAGGTTATGGGGGAGCATTTTAGTAATTAGAGTTAGGTTCCCCCCCCCCCTGAAAACACCCGAGGTGGTGCTAGGGGTGCTGGTGAAAGCAGGCACCACGAGTACTCCCGGGGAGGCTCCATCTATTGGTGGGGAGCAGCACCTGCTGGAAATGGGTTCCAGCGTCCCTGAACATTATGGTTGATTATCTGAACATGTAGATTGTAGATGACGAGCGGCTTTCTTTACCATCAAACTAGGGGATTACCTACGCATCAGACTGCGCGGTGGACTAACCCTGCACGGTGGATTTAGTCCGACTAACCCTTTGATGGCAACACCACATCGATTCATCTCACCTCCTATGTAGCCCTAGTGAGAGAGAGTGTCCAGACCCTTCCAATCCATAGAAACTCCTGTCTCACTCGCATATCCCATCCACATGTCAGAGCACCATGGTTATATATGCATTATGGAAACGGTGACCCTTACCTGAGTCATACCAAAAATCTACCTGGAAAAAACACACCGCATGTTGAAATTTGAATGTAATCCTTAGTACCCAATTGAAATTCTTCAAGACAAACCCTAAGGATGCGGGTGGGCCAACCGTATTGTAACTTCCAGCAACGGGAGAGAATTGACTGCACAAATTGTGATCGTCTACTCTGGGAGGAAGATATCATCATCCCCATCCCACAACTCTCCCCTACAGACTATCATCCATCGTTGTTATTGTTGTGTAGTTAGCAGCCTTGCGACCTAGCTCCCTGGGCACCCAAGGATAGGCAACGCTTGCTGAGATCATGGTCTTCCCTGGGGATTATACCCTTCCCCCCCTTTGTTCCAACCTAACCTACACCCACTCTCTCTCTCCCCCAAGGCAACCAGATTGCAGCATAGTGAAATAGGCCAAAGACGGCAGCACCGACATGAAGCAGAGAGGCACTGAGGGCATCGTCAACACAGGAAAAGGCACATGGAATAAACTCTTCCCGCGAGCCATGCCCATAGTCAGCCCTACGGTTCATCGAAGAATCACCTTCCCTGATCAGCCTGTCAGAGCTCGTCCGCATGAAAGAAGTCCGACGCACCGTGATAGGTGAAATTTGTCCCGTGTTCTTCGTCGCAACCTTTCGGGAGAGTGCAGTATCGAGTTGATGCTTGCCGTCCCACTCTAGCCTCTGGTTGCATCGGGGACCTTTGTCTGCCTCACCATGAGGGTTTGAAACCCCAGCACTGCCCAGCGGTCATCCGGCCAGGTGCCTGACCCATCGCCACCCCAACCATGACAACCGTGTGCAGGTTCTGCAAGTAGGGGCGGTCCTGTGTCTGACCGCCACATGGGGTGTTGTCCATAATACCCTCATCCTCCCGGTTGATTTGATCCAGTATCGTTTCGTTGACCAGGCAGCTGCAGTGTGGCCCCTGGATTGTGATGGGGCAGCTCTTATCACCCAACAATTCTCCAATAGTGATTGCCGCCCGTTGCTGTGCAATGATTTGCCTCAGCTTGTTCAATTGCATATGACACTCTTCTATATCATTTATAACCTGCTCAGCATAGAGGAAACAATCCCTTGCAACTTGTTCCCCCATTCTTCAAAGGTGTCTTGTACCTCTTGTAGCATCACCAGCTGCAGGCTGTCCTGTGCTTGTAGCAGCACCAACACTGTTTCATGTATCTGCTGCTTGTACATACCTACAGGCTACAGTCTCTGGCACTGATTCCGTTTCCCACCGTGATGGAGATGAGGAGAACTCCTGGAAAGTAGGGTGCAGCAGGTCAGGAGGGTTGCCCCGCCCACCCTCACCATCGGTGCCCATTGTCGTCATTCAACGGCTCTAAAAGCGACACACTGATAACACTTACCTGTAGATGTTGTCTGCGCTGCTGTCACCGTCTGGAGATCACTCCTCGTTATTGTAGACGTGACTTATCGCTGCTGATGTCGCCGATGTTGCCCGTCTGTACGATGTCGTCACTGTGCCGAATCGGCCGATCTTTCCTACACGTGGACTCTCCACTCCGACCGTGTTAAGGGGCCATGGGATGTCGACACTCGAACTCAAAGGAGATCGCCGATCACGGCGATGGCGTCTCCCTAGACTGCGTGCGGATCCTGGCGGACGGGCCTTGCCGTCCGCAGGCCGCAAGCGCTAGCGCTGCTTCTGTAATTAAGGTTAGCGATGGCTGTTGAGGACAGCCATAGGGGGGGTGCACGCCCTGAAGCGCACTTTTCGCCGCTTAGCACCCATAGCAGCTCGTCAGAGTGATGTAGCTCCACGTTAGTTTGTAGGTCAGGGAGGTCAGGGGGAGGTGAGGGAAGAGGGGGCTTGGGGAAGGTTAGGGGTATGTTTGAGTGAACCCATACTTGTGAGCGGAATGCCTGTGAAGACGACATCTCTTCAACGGACGCCATTCTCCCTCTGTGTGTTAGGCCGTTCGTAAAACGCAATGGAGTGCAGCGATCGCAGGAGGGGATGTGTTAGCGATGGAGTTGTAAGTCCGCGCGCATTAGATCACTCGTGCTTGCTCGGCACGTGAGCGTAGGCAAGGGGAATGAGGTGGGATCATTGCAGATCGCGTGCTCCTTGGCTGTAGGAGTGCGCAGCAAGCAATTGCGGGCAAGTCCGATAGCGTCGGTCGGGCTGAGGTAGATAGCAATGCAAGATAGCACCATTGTATATAGTTGCGTGTGGATCTAACTTGGAAGTAAGGAAATGGAAGGGGTAGTAAGCAAGGCGTATTTTGGGTATGTTTATGGGAGGGGTTTGATTTAATTTTAGTTTGGAGGAGAGAGGGTTCTGTCATTTTAGGTTGAGGAGAGAAAATAACGTGTTTGGTCATGGCTTCTGTAGTCGAGTGGTCCGTACGAATGTATGGGTTACGGCGCGTATAACAACACCCTGTGCATGGTTCAAGAAATAGGTAGTAGTAGGAGCAATCGTATTCTAATTAGTCATTCTATTGGCTTTGTAGTGCTCACGTTACGACGTATTTTTCGTTACGTATTTTGTCCCGATTCAAAGTGCCAATCTCATTGGACGTGTATCACGAGTTTTTGTTTTTCTGAAACCTTCTCTGCGGGGTGTACCTGTAAAAGTCTCGTCGTTTGTGTTTGCCAGTCTGTCACCATATGCATATCTTCGTTTTTTTGCAGTATGCTTATGCAGTAGTGGGAGCGGTCGCAATCTAATTAGTCATTTTATAGTGGGTTTATGTTGCTTGTGCTAAGGCATTTTTTTCGTGATGTAGTTTGTCCTTATCTTTCGTGTCATTCTACTTGGAGGTGTATCACGAGTTTTTGTTTTTCTGAAATTTTCTGCAGGGTGTTCCTGAGAAAAGTATTATCGTTTGTGTATCTTAGTTTGTCGTTATATGCTTTTTTTCATTTTATTTTATTTTTTCCCTCGTTTTTTTCGTTTTCATCGCTTTTTTCGCGTTATTTTTTACGCAGTGAGCTAGTTTTTTTGTTTTTTGTATTTATGCACGTAACTGTGTTTGTATGTGAACCCCATAATTTTTATTTTGTAAAAGTTAGTGTATAGGTATCAATTTTTTTTTGTATTGTAGAAGTTCTTTAGTTGAGTTTCTGAGGCACCATCAGCTAGGGATATCATCATTCTGGCGAGCATGATTTTGGGATATGCTTATTCATATTGTGAAGGGAAGATGACCAACTTGTAACAGGAATTAAATCTTTATCCATTTAATTTGAGTCACATAATTTCTATGTTTTGTGTAGAAGTTAGTATATATAACGATAGCAGTTTTTAAGTTGAGTTTCTAAGTCACCATCAGCTAAGGATATCATCATTCTAGCGAGCATAATAATTGGCTTATTCAATTTGTGAATGGAAGTCTTAGACGGTAAATTTGAAAAAAGAATTTTTGTATTTTGTATTTTGTATTTTATAAATTATTTAATTAATTATTAACTTTATTTACTTATTATTTTATTACTTGATTTTTTTTAATTATTATTATTTTATGATTTAATAATATGATTATTATTTTATTATTCTATTATTATTTTATTTATTTATTTATTTTACTTTTTTCATATATTATATTAATTTTTATTTTAAAAATCAAAATAAAAACCTGTTATTTTTAAAAATTTTAAATTATTATTTTTTTTAATTTATAATTTTCATCATTTTCCTTTTTATTATTAATAATTAATTATTATTAATTTTTAATTTTATTAATTTTTATTTTTATTAATTATTAATATTATTAATGAAAAATAAGCTTGTA